CTGTCAGAGGTAGTGGAAAAAAGGCAGCTTCTGGTTGTGGCTAAAGTAAGTGCTGAACCTCGGGTGTTGGTAGGGATAGTACTGGGGTCAAAAATGTGGCTGGTGGTCCCAGGCAGATGACCTCACTTAGCCCTCACTTAGAGGCATCAGTGTGGCTTCCCCAGGCAGATTCTCTGTTGGACACGTCTGCATATAATGACAATGTTGGAGGTCAGGCAGCAAAGTCCAGCAGGTAGAACCCCAGCTTTTTCTTTTGAGCTGTAAATGTACAGTATATCTACATCTCTAAAGAGGTTCATAATACTATTGTTTCTTAGAGATATTTTAGGCTGCTGTCTTTGAAAAACCCCCATTTCAGCCTCTGTCTGACATGCTGACACCTCCCCACCACCACCACCATTCTTGAACCCTCCTTCACTGATGCTACGCATAAAAAAGTGATGTTTCTTCTTATAAAATGAAAAACTTCCCCATTTAAGGAGATTGACTGTCTGGTGATGTCTGGATCTGAGCAAACCTCATGTTGAATTTAGTTTTGAATAAACCATTCAGAGCAGACTGCAGTTGGGGATTATTCAACACTCATTAACCTCACATTGCTGATGTCCAACATTTTCATTCAATATTTGCTTTTGGAATATGGAAAAAAGGCCAATACCGCCTCTTTAAATATGTCTATTTCTATAACTAGATCTTTGTGTCTATATTTATCCAGAGATTCGATTAGATTAAAGTACAGAGAACTTTTTAATCTATTAGGGAAAATTCCGGCAGCATCAGTTTGTATACTACTACTACTAAACTCAAAATGGTCAATAAGTAAGAAATAAAAATGCAATTTACATATAAGGATTAAATATATAATAAACTGTAGATAAATTAAGTATTCACAACATATATTTCAATCTATCTTGAATATATTACATCTATTGCAGATTGCAAAATTCTTAAATTCGTTACCTGTTTCATATTTTTGTATTTTTCTTTTTTTTAATTTGAATTGAGCGAGTGAAAAGAGAAAGCTTCTTCTCTATTGAGTTTTCTTATATTTTTTATTTTTTTAAATGCTATTTTAGTTGTTTGCAGAGAGGAGGGGAGAAGGACTGGTTACTTCTTTTGACCCTTCGTTGACCTCAGTAGCAGGGGGTTCGCCGACAATTTCATCATCTTTGGGCAATCCTCATTTTCCAGGTACTTCTCCAAGAGCAGCAGCTGAATGGCCTCACTCTCCAGCAGATCCAGAGTGGACATGATGTTCTTATCTATAATCCCAGCAGAGGTGCCTTCCACTGAATAGCCAGACGGTGTCTCAGAAAGGGTCCCCCTCTCATCTGTTTCGCCTTGGTCTGAGATTTTGCCTTGGATCATGTTTTGGCTCAGTGAAGAGGGTTCGTCCTCTTGCTTTTGCTGTTGCAGACTTTCTTTTCTGAACTGATCAGCCTCTGATTGTGGCTGACTGATTTGACCCTTCACAGCCAGATCATCCTTCAAAGCAATGTATTTCAGGTAAGCAGACTCTTTATATTTGCCCTGTAAAAATCTTGAGACCAGCAGGTCTGGATCGTCTTCCACAGTGACGTTTTTTATCTTCACTAACTCATCCTTCATGGTGTCCAGGGGCTGCGGCACAGCGATCAGAAGCTCCAGTTCTTTAAGATCTGACACCTTTGTGAGTTTAATCCCTCGGGTCTCATCTTGAGAGGTTTTCTGCTCGTTCTCCTCTCTGAATTTGCTGATCAGTAACTCTGTCTGGTTGGATTCATCTGCAACAAGCTTGACCAGGTTCTGGTGCAAGATAAAGTTCTTTTCCTGTAACCTAGCAAGCGGCCAAATCATTTTGGTTTGAAACTTGTGTACGTCTTCGTAAGCACTTGTGGTCTGCCAAATCATTTCTTTCTCCATTTTGCAGAGATCATTCAGCTCCTTTTCCATTGGTTCAAGATGCCGCTGATAAAGGGCGTATTTGGTTTGATCAGTCTGCCTCTCCTCTGCCAGTGGGTTGATCTGGTTGAGCAGCTGATTTGCAAAAGTGCTGACTGTGTAAAGCTTGTCCTCCAAAATACTCAATGTCTTATCCTCACAACTTGGTTTCTCAGCACTGACCTCCTCTTTCTGCAGTTCTGCCGGCTCCGTTTGACTCTGTGCCTTCTGTCTGTCCTCACGAAGCGTGTCTGTCAATGCCAACTCCGAATGAAGTCTCTGCGTCTTCCCACTGTGAGACTGTGAAGACCTGCTCAATGCATTCAGCTCCTGCTGGAGTTTAGCCTGCTTTTTAAGTAAGGCCTCTTCCTTACGGAGAGGCATGTCTTCCTCCTCTTTGTTCACACGCTTGCGGTCCTCAAAATGCAGACGTCTGGACTTGAACGCTCTCTCGGCCTCTGCGAAAGCTTCAGTGTCTGATTCAGACACATGTGAGTAGGCACTTGCTCTCTTAAACGGCATTGCTCCAGCAGCAACCAAGAAAAGTAGTTTAAAAAAAAACCTTAAAATCCAGTCTGTGCAAAAACATTTAAGTTAGATCATGCAAAGAAACATTCATTTACCAATAAATATCTGACATGTTTTAAAGTCTACAGTTCAATTCTTTTAAGCTAAAGTAAGTAAATCAGTTTTCAAAATATCACAAATTTCAGCCAACTTACAACAGGAAGCTTGACGGGGCGAGCTCTCGATGGTGTCCTTTCAGCCTTGCTCAAAATTGTGCTGCTCTTAAATACCCTCTTTTTTACTTTGATGATGTCACACTCTGACACATCAAAGGCAAATTCTAGAACACCTTATGATGTCACAATCTATGACACATTCTATTTTTTTTTCAATGAACTTTATTGAAAAAGTTTGTACATACAAACAATTGTACACATTGACTGTATAAAGAATGGACGCCGTCTGCCTCCTCGCTGGGTGAAGCCACCCTGAGAACAGCACCCTCTGGTGACGGGCTGCAGTATAGGTCATAAATCCCGCCTCTGCCTGCAAAGCTTACAAACTTAAGAAATTTATTACACAGAACCTAAATCCTGAGTATTTGCATTTGTGCATGCACACTAACATTCACCTACAGCAAAATAGGAGGTTACATGTTAAAAATGGTGAAGCAAGGGGCGTGCAGTTGGCCAAGCAGGTTAGCGGGCCTAACTTTCTTTAGCCCCTTTTGCAACAAAACATGTATCTTAAAGTTGATCTAGTTGTTCAATTACACCTCAGCTATATGAAACGAAAAACACTGATAAAGGGATATTTTCAGATCCTAACTTATGAGTATCCCTGGTGACAAATAACCTTCCAAATATTATTTGGCACTCCAACCACATTGCACTTCCCATTAAACTCTAGCCTGGCTGAGCCATCCTGTTGCGTGAGTCACTTGACGTTCCTTCCCACCACAGTCTGGACTTCGGCATATAGAGAGTGTGTATTCCCGATCAGAAAATAACCGGGCCAATCAGAGACCGTGTTTCCACTGTTACCCGGACAACAGGGAAAGGCAGATCAAGTTTATTTTCCTACTTACGAACAAGTTGTTCATGTTTTTGATATTGTTTTTGTGTTTTAACTGTTTTATCACTTTATTCAAAATTGCTGTGGCATCCTGTTGCTCCTGATTTTGTATGGTATTGCAATGGGGTTATGTGTTTGTGTGTGTAAGCACCAATGGTGGTGTGTAGGCTGGTGGTGGGGTGGGTGGGGCGTGAGGGCTGTGGAGGTGGTAGAGCGGTGTGTTTTGTGTTTGTTTTGTATTATTGTAATGCATATGTAGTGTTATATTTTGTATCTGTGTTGGAACCCCCTCAAAAAAAAAAAAAAAACGCTGCATCTCAAGGGGCTTTCCTAAACAAATTGAAATTGAAATGGGCTGAATTTAAGTGGGATGCCTGAAAGTCTTTAAAGAGCTGTCAGAGGTAGTGGAAAAAAGGCAGCTTCTGGTTGTGGCTAAAGTAAGTGCTGAACCTCGGGTGTTGGTAGGGATAGTACTGGGGTCAAAAATGTGGCTGGTGGTCCCAGGCAGATGACCTCACTTAGCCCTCACTTAGAGGCATCAGTGTGGCTTCCCCAGGCAGATTCTCTGTTGGACACGTCTGCATATAATGACAATGTTGGAGGTCAGGCAGCAAAGTCCAGCAGGTAGAACCCCAGCTTTTTCTTTTGAGCTGTAAATGTACAGTATATCTACATCTCTAAAGAGGTTCATAATACTATTGTTTCTTAGAGATATTTTAGGCTGCTGTCTTTGAAAAACCCCCATTTCAGCCTCTGTCTGACATGCTGACACCTCCCCACCACCACCACCATTCTTGAACCCTCCTTCACTGATGCTACGCATAAAAAAGTGATGTTTCTTCTTATAAAATGAAAAACTTCCCCATTTAAGGAGATTGACTGTCTGGTGATGTCTGGATCTGAGCAAACCTCATGTTGAATTTAGTTTTGAATAAACCATTCAGAGCAGACTGCAGTTGGGGATTATTCAACACTCATTAACCTCACATTGCTGATGTCCAACATTTTCATTCAATATTTGCTTTTGGAATATGGAAAAAAGGCCAATACCGCCTCTTTAAATATGTCTATTTCTATAACTAGATCTTTGTGTCTATATTTATCCAGAGATTCGATTAGATTAAAGTACAGAGAACTTTTTAATCTATTAGGGAAAATTCCGGCAGCATCAGTTTGTATACTACTACTACTAAACTCAAAATGGTCAATAAGTAAGAAATAAAAATGCAATTTACATATAAGGATTAAATATATAATAAACTGTAGATAAATTAAGTATTCACAACATATATTTCAATCTATCTTGAATATATTACATCTATTGCAGATTGCAAAATTCTTAAATTCGTTACCTGTTTCATATTTTTGTATTTTTCTTTTTTTTAATTTGAATTGAGCGAGTGAAAAGAGAAAGCTTCTTCTCTATTGAGTTTTCTTATATTTTTTATTTTTTTAAATGCTATTTTAGTTGTTTGCAGAGAGGAGGGGAGAAGGACTGGTTACTTCTTTTGACCCTTCGTTGACCTCAGTAGCAGGGGGTTCGCCGACAATTTCATCATCTTTGGGCAATCCTCATTTTCCAGGTACTTCTCCAAGAGCAGCAGCTGAATGGCCTCACTCTCCAGCAGATCCAGAGTGGACATGATGTTCTTATCTATAATCCCAGCAGAGGTGCCTTCCACTGAATAGCCAGACGGTGTCTCAGAAAGGGTCCCCCTCTCATCTGTTTCGCCTTGGTCTGAGATTTTGCCTTGGATCATGTTTTGGCTCAGTGAAGAGGGTTCGTCCTCTTGCTTTTGCTGTTGCAGACTTTCTTTTCTGAACTGATCAGCCTCTGATTGTGGCTGACTGATTTGACCCTTCACAGCCAGATCATCCTTCAAAGCAATGTATTTCAGGTAAGCAGACTCTTTATATTTGCCCTGTAAAAATCTTGAGACCAGCAGGTCTGGATCGTCTTCCACAGTGACGTTTTTTATCTTCACTAACTCATCCTTCATGGTGTCCAGGGGCTGCGGCACAGCGATCAGAAGCTCCAGTTCTTTAAGATCTGACACCTTTGTGAGTTTAATCCCTCGGGTCTCATCTTGAGAGGTTTTCTGCTCGTTCTCCTCTCTGAATTTGCTGATCAGTAACTCTGTCTGGTTGGATTCATCTGCAACAAGCTTGACCAGGTTCTGGTGCAAGATAAAGTTCTTTTCCTGTAACCTAGCAAGCGGCCAAATCATTTTGGTTTGAAACTTGTGTACGTCTTCGTAAGCACTTGTGGTCTGCCAAATCATTTCTTTCTCCATTTTGCAGAGATCATTCAGCTCCTTTTCCATTGGTTCAAGATGCCGCTGATAAAGGGCGTATTTGGTTTGATCAGTCTGCCTCTCCTCTGCCAGTGGGTTGATCTGGTTGAGCAGCTGATTTGCAAAAGTGCTGACTGTGTAAAGCTTGTCCTCCAAAATACTCAATGTCTTATCCTCACAACTTGGTTTCTCAGCACTGACCTCCTCTTTCTGCAGTTCTGCCGGCTCCGTTTGACTCTGTGCCTTCTGTCTGTCCTCACGAAGCGTGTCTGTCAATGCCAACTCCGAATGAAGTCTCTGCGTCTTCCCACTGTGAGACTGTGAAGACCTGCTCAATGCATTCAGCTCCTGCTGGAGTTTAGCCTGCTTTTTAAGTAAGGCCTCTTCCTTACGCAGAGGCATGTCTTCCTCCTCTTTGTTCACACGCTTGCGGTCCTCAAAATGCAGACGTCTGGACTTGAACGCTCTCTCGGCCTCTGCGAAAGCTTCAGTGTCTGATTCAGACACATGTGAGTAGGCACTTGCTCTCTTAAACGGCATTGCTCCAGCAGCAACCAAGAAAAGTAGTTTAAAAAAAAACCTTAAAATCCAGTCTGTGCAAAAACATTTAAGTTAGATCATGCAAAGAAACATTAATTCACCAATAAATATCTGACATGTTTTAAAGTCTACAGTTCAATTCTTTTAAGCTAAAGTAAGTAAATCAGTTTTCAAAATATCACAAATTTCAGCCAACTTACAACAGGAAGCTTGACGGGGCGAGCTCTCGATGGTGTCCTTTCAGCCTTGCTCAAAATTGTGCTGCTCTTAAATACCCTCTTTTTTACTTTGATGATGTCACACTCTGACACATCAAAGGCAAATTCTAGAACACCTTATGATGTCACAATCTATGACACATTCTATTTTTTTTTTCAATGAACTTTATTGAAAAAGTTTGTACATACAAACAATTGTACACATTGACTGTATAAAGAATGGACGCCGTCTGCCTCCTCGCTGGGTGAAGCCACCCTGAGAACAGCACCCTCTGGTGACGGGCTGCAGTATAGGTCATAAATCCCGCCTCTGCCTGCAAAGCTTACAAACTTAAGAAATTTATTACACAGAACCTAAATCCTGAGTATTTGCATTTGTGCATGCACACTAACATTCACCTACAGCAAAATAGGAGGTTACATGTTAAAAATGGTGAAGCAAGGGGCGTGCAGTTGGCCAAGCAGGTTAGCGGGCCTAACTTTCTTTAGCCCCTTTTGCAACAAAACATGTATCTTAAAGTTGATCTAGTTGTTCAATTACACCTCAGCTATATGAAACGAAAAACACTGATAAAGGGATATTTTCAGATCCTAACTTATGAGTATCCCTGGTGACAAATAACCTTCCAAATATTATTTGGCACTCCAACCACATTGCACTTCCCATTAAACTCTAGCCTGGCTGAGCCATCCTGTTGCGTGAGTCACTTGACGTTCCTTCCCACCACAGTCTGGACTTCGGCATATAGAGAGTGTGTATTCCCGATCAGAAAATAACCGGGCCAATCAGAGACCGTGTTTCCACTGTTACCCGGACAACAGGGAAAGGCAGATCAAGTTTATTTTCCTACTTACGAACAAGTTGTTCATGTTTTTGATATTGTTTTTGTGTTTTAACTGTTTTATCACTTTATTCAAAATTGCTGTGGCATCCTGTTGCTCCTGATTTTGTATGGTATTGCAATGGGGTTATGTGTTTGTGTGTGTAAGCACCAATGGTCAGCCCATTATTACTTCAGCACATTTTTAAGCCACCAATATTAAATTCTGCACATTTTGGAATCAGATATCATTTTTAATCATTCAATGTTTTTCCTCATAATTTGCCCATCATTGCAAACTTTCTGCATCGTGACGTTATCATTATCGTTGAGAATGTAACAGCTGGTATATCTATTTTCATAGGTCATTCGTATCATGCATCAAGGTTATTAAGGTGCATAGCATGGATGTGTTGCTATAAAGCCAGGTTGTTAACAAAACCTCAACAGACGGAGAATAGACGTTAAAAAAACGTTTGTGTTTGCTTCTTGCTAGTGCGTTTTGCTGATTGTTTAGATACAAAATAGGTCAACTAAGATGACCTGATAGTAACAAGCAACAACAGGGCGTGTGGCCACTAATGGTAGCAGAGGCAGGTGTGCTTCTGTCAGTGATTCTGTTCATGTCTAGTGCTTGTAAACTGAGACAAGGACAGTAGCCCGGCTAATTGAGCTATGGTTATCGCTCGACTTTACAGCTCAAGTAAACATACTCATGATTTCATGTGAGAAAGAGGTTTGTATTGGCTTTTTGTCAAAGCACCTCAGTTTTTCTGAAGCAAAACACAGAAAAACTAGAAAAGCACTCAAAGAGCGCAGACCTCCGCCAAGCAGCTCATGTCCCCCCCTTAAACAAGAAACACCCTGACCGGGATTCGAACCCATGACCTTCTGGTTGCAAGGCAACAGTGCTAACTACTACACCACTATACCGCCGTGCCGCCCATTGGTTATCTTTCAGCACTGACACCCTTATTTTTGTGTGTTCTGGATAACAGCATCCAAAATTTTGTCCGGATCACCACCAAAATTTAATGGCATCCTCCTGGGGCTGAGAGCTTGAACATGTTATCTTTGAGTCTCTGTATGAAACAGGCAAACCGAAAAACCCCACGATGTGATTACGAGTGGTTATTTTAAGGAGTTCCATAAATGGTATCAAACCTACAGGCGCCCTCATGCTAAGCACAAGCTCAGACCAAACCTCTGTTGGAGAGGGTGAAGATAGAGACAGACAGGGGTCAGACTGCTGTGTGGTGTCAGGGGAACTGGAGGAAGGTGTAGAAGCAGGGAAGCAGCTGAGCAGATAAAAGGGATTTGAACCCACTGTGAAAGACAAACCCCTCAATATCCCCTTGTGTCTTTTGCTCACTTTCAGCATCCTGTCTCTCATCTCTTTCCTTCCCTCTGGCCAGTCTGACTTCAAACCTTTCTGCACGCACACACACACTTGCATACACAGAGGCAACAAATAGGCAATGTGCACACAAATATCTAAGAGGAGGGTTTTTGGGAGAGATACGTGGTGTCTCTTGTGGTGTTTGTGTGTCTGTCATGACATCAGGATAAACACCGCTGACAGATGAGGGTCAGCCATGTTTTGTTGCCAAAATCTTTCGTTAAAAAAAAAAAAACTCTTCTTTACACACGGAGACGGTGAAAGGAGGCAGCCGGCTCAGTCTCGACCTGGAAACGATGGTGGCGTTTCACAGGCGATACATCTCACTTCGTACGTGACGTGAAAAGTGAAGGTCGTGCGTGTTTGTGGCAGCATGTGTGTGAGCTAGGAGTTTTTTTTTTTCATTTGTTTATTTGTGTGTGTGCATGTGTGTTTGCAGTGACTGACTTGGAGCCCCTGCAGCCTTCAGGGCCAGCTCAGCACTTGGCTTCTTATCTCTCTCTCTCTCTCTCTCTGAACCTCGGTCATGAATAAACATCGCCGGAATAAAAAATTACCCAAAATGAAAATCACCGAGTGGAATTTAGAGGAGGCGGGTGTAAATCCACGGCAGGAGAGAGGAGGGTGTGTGGGGTGGTGGTGGGAAAAGTGAATGGATAAGAGGGTGGAAGCGAGAGAGGGAGGGAGCGAGGAAGCTGAAAGGCAGATGGAGGCCTAAGGGGAGAGGGAGTATAAAGAGTTTCCTCCATCCTCGAATACCTTCAGCGCACTGGGCCAGAAAAAAAAAGAAAAAAAGCGCTGAAACATTTCACTTTTCCTCTTTAGTCTTGCTTTTTTTTGCATCTCTGTCTACCTGCCTCTCTCTGTATGTTTTTAAATGTCATTTGGTCTCTCTGTGGGCTTCTGTAGATGGTTTTTTGTTCGCTTCTGTTACGCGTTTATGTGCATGTGGGTGTGTGTAGGAGATAGAGAATTTTTCTTCTTCTCCAGCTGATTTTCTCTGGTTTGTAATGAGCTGTTTCACTGAACTACATGAAAAGACCATGTTTCTCCATAACCCTTTTTAACTGTCGAATTTGCATCTCTTAATCGGTCGTCCTTCTTCTTTTCTCTCATTGTACGCCGCTCCTCTGCGGAAAAATAATGCCACTGTGAAGCAGACATAAATAATAAAAGATGAACAGTTTCCTCTAATACGCTTCTCCTAATCTGTCCGTCCATTTAAATCTGCACACAAATGCACATCACAGTAAATCCACAAGGGAATAATGAGGGTCATGCAGAGGAAATGTGTGTGAGCGGCCTCATTTTGCAGCAGCATCATTAGTTACACACCTACCAGCGCTGTCCCGTCGATACAGCAGCCCACCCACACACAGACTCATGTTGGCTCATGGTGCTAGAGCTGGAGTCTTATTCCTCTGTCTCTCTTTCTCATTATCTGTCTGTCTCTCTGTCTTACACACTGCTCCTAAGACCTGGTGCTGGCATCAGATGTGACAGTGTGTTAATCGGTTGGCTGCTATGCAGGTCAGCGAGTATCCTGGTGGAGCTGGAGATCCATTCACTGGCTCAACTGGGAGCCACCGTAGACTGACAGCACTTTTATTACTGTTTTTTTTTAACCAAGAGAGCCACTTGAAGCTTGACAGGAGCTCAGACAGTTTCTTTTTTTCTCTCCCACCTTGTTTCTTCCAGTCTGGTCAGTTTGCTTTCCTTCCTTCACCACCTTGTCCTTTTAAACTCTCTCATCAACATCACTCTGAATCCTCGCTCGCCTTTAGCTTTCATCTCTTCTTTGTTCCCATCATCCCTTCATCACACCCATATTTATGCTGCCTTCTTGTTTCACTCCTTGATACCTATCGTATCCCTTGTGCCTTGTTGGCAGGGGTGACCACAAGGGGTGGCCTGGTGGGTCACAGGCCCACTTTAGTGCCATCCCATAATCCTAATCTATGAATAGCTGTCTGCTAGATTAGCCAAATTCATTTGACAGTGTTGCACCATGCTGTTGCATTTGTGGCGTTTGTGGGTAACTTATACCACAAGTTTTGGGGGTATATGTTATTTTGTGTCCTGCAACATTGGAATGACATATTTATGATGCTAATTAGTGGATCTGATTGGTGGTGGGGTTCTATACAAAAGTATGAGATTTGGAGCCACGTCACAAAGAAAAAAAAGGTAATTTTGGGGATCTTCACCTTTTGGTAAAGGTTTGTTTATGGCTCTTCAGACTGCTGTGTATTGCTATCATGTGGTTGTCACTGAAGTTGGTACAACTAGAGAAGCAAGCCGTCAGCAACATTCATTACTTGAGGGGGAGTCTAACTTGGTGTTACAGTGTGTTTGACCCTGAATTAATTTTACGCTGGAATATCCCTTCAAGTCTGGAATTAAAAAACAAATTCTTAATTTTTTTGATAGTTAGGGTTAGGGTTAGATGGGAATTTCAAGAATATTTCAAGAATAGAGTCAGAAATGAATGAGAACAAGTATACAATCCACAAGAATAAATTAACAGATTAAAAATAATGAAGTACTTCTATAAAAACCAAG